AATATTTTTAATATAAGAGTAGGATTTTTTACTGGGCAATACATTGAGTTTAATGCGGCTTAGTAGTTGACAGCATGGTGAGGTGGGGGCACTCACTAATTAGACACATTTCATACAAATTTTGGATGGAGCACTATGCTACAAAGTCCAGCAATTCACATATTGTTTTAGAAAGTGCACATTTCTTCCTTGTCTCTATCCATGTACCCAAACCAGTCCCCCACTCCACTCTGTGCAAGCTGCTCAAAATGTCATAACCTGCAGATTATTGATTCAAGCTTATCACTTTAACTCAGGCTTGTTTTGACTAGGAGTATGATTCCCACGTTGTGTGTGAGAGGTCCTAGGTTCAGTTCCCAGGAAAGAAACCCACCATATCCCCAAGGGGAAAGTGCCATAGCTTACCAGAGTCACCTGGTTGTCCTCTGTGGGAACAGGATGCTGGGGCAGATGGAACATTGGTCTGATTGTCTTATGTGAGAGTTCCATACACAGTGGTACCTCTGGTGATGTACTTAATTCATTCCGGAGGTCCGTTCTTAACCTGAAACTGTTCTTAACCTGAAGTACCACTTTAGCTAATGGAGCCTCCCACTGCCACCGCGCCACCGCTGCATGATTTCTGTTCTCATCCTGAAGCAAAGTTCTTAACCTAAGATTCTATTTCTGGGTTAGAAGAGTCTGTAACCTGAAGCGTATGTAACCCGAGGTACCACTGTACTGTACAGTGGTACCTCGGAAGTTGAACGGAATCTGTTCATTCAACTTCCAAAACGTTTGGGAACCAAGGCACGGCTTCCAATTGGCTGTAGGAAGCTCTTGCAGCCAACCAGAAGCTGCTGAAGCCACACTGGATGTTTGGGTTCCAAAAAATGTTCGCAAACTGGAACAATCACTTCTGGGTTTACGGCGTTCAGGAGCAAAAATGTTCGACTCACAAGGCGTTCAGGATCCAAGGTACGATTGCATTTGATTCTTCCAGATCTTGAGCCAGATCCAGGGTTTGAGTTTTCTCTGGATCATTCCAGGTTGGCTTAGGCCCAAACATGGATCATTCCATAGAAGCAGTTTTACAGGCTTGCTCAGTTTTCTGAAGATCACAATTTCATCTTGATTTTTGAAATACCATTATTATTATTATTATTATTATTATTATTATTATTTATATTCTGCCCATCTGGCCAGGCCTCCCCAGCCACTCTGGGCAGCTTCCAACAAGCTTAGTGTGGTCCTTCTGAGAACAACTCTTTAATGTTCTTGTTCTTTTGCTTAAATAGAATGGGAATATCAGAAAACCTTCCAAGTGGATTATTATTACTATTTATACTCCACATTTTCCCCTGACTGGACTTACATATTGTTTTCTAGTGAATTCGGTGAAGCTAATCTAAACTGCCTTTCAAGGCCAACTTTAAAGCATTACATAAGTGAACTTGCCATTTGAGATACTATTAGTCTCACAGCTGCATTATGAAATCATTTTTTTAAAGTCTATAAAGCACCGTGATGAGAAGACATCAAAGGAAAAGTTCTCTCCACTTTAATTGGTACATATTTGATGGATCAAGCTTAGATTAATATCTATTTGCAGATCTTTACGGAATTAATCATTATAAACCTCGTACTTTGCGTTACTTATTTAATTCTAGATGAATTTTCATTGTAGCTAATCCTTGGGACTAAAAAAGTAATTCAATGGATATTCAAATAATAATAAAAATGCACCGTATTGAAAGTCAATATCTGATGGATGTTGCATAGCTCTGTGTGCAGCCCAAATTACTAGGGCTGGATCTACACTGCCCTCTTAAAAATTATTAGAACGATATTAGATATATTGTTCTAAAAAGTCACAGGGCATACTGGTAAAATGAAAGCGTTCCTTACCTGTTTCCTCTGTAACAACACCGTCCCTACCGCCTGGTTCTTGGTTGCTCTGCAGCGCCTTCTGGTGTCACCTTTTAATAATGCATTATTAACGTTCCAAGCAAAATGCAATATGTCCAAATACATTATTGTAACCGTTCCTTAACCCTTCCTTAACGTTATAAACCATGAGTGTAGATCCGCCCTAGATGTCAGGGAATGGTCGGAACAGGGAGACTGGGAAGTGTGCACTCAGTCTGCTTTCCGAGGAGGAGGAGGAGAGGGAAGCTTCGCCCTCCTTGTCTACAGCAGTTTCAGGAGGGGAGAGAGAGAGAAATGCTATACTGTTCGAGGAAGAATTACCAAGCTACGAGATAGTGGAAGAGGAAGGGGAAGTGAGAGAGCAGCCGACAGAAACATCCCTGGAGAGTATGGGGGATCCTCCATCTCCACGGGCCCGTAGGTCCCTTCGCATCCTAGAACAGATAAGGCAGAGGGGTGGGACTCCTGGGACTTCCTGTTGGAGCTCAGGATGTTGTGTGGTGAGCCAGGAGCCAGTGTGGTGTAGTGGTTAAGAGCAGTGGACTTGTAATCTGGGGAACCGGGTTCGTGTCTCCGCTCCTCCACATGCAGCTGCTGGGTGACCTTGGGCCAGTCACACTTCTTTGAAGTCTCTCAGCCCCACTCACCTCACAGAGTGTTTGTTGTGGGGGAGGAAGGGAAAGGAGAATGTTAGCTGCTTTGAGACTCCTGAAGGGGAGTGAAAGGCGAGATATCAAATCCAAACTCTTTGTTGTTGGGGATGGAAGAGGTGGGGCTCAGAGTAGCCAACGTCTCTCTTTGTGTGGAGACATGGATTCTTGTCTTGCAACCAGATGACTGAATAAAAAGGGCTATAAAATACAAGCCACTTGTTCTTCTTTGATGCTACCAGAGGCAGAGAGGACTCTCCACGCCTGACACTAGGTGACCAGTGGTGATTCAGTAAGGTTTGCACATGCCTGAATTGTATTGCACCATTCACAAGTCTCAAGTCTGTCAGGAACTCCCAAGTCACTCTGTGCACTCAATTGCGCTCACACACTGCATTTTGCCAAAAGAACCCAAAGTGACTTTTCTTTCTTTCTTTTGTTCTTTCTTGGTTTCGAGTTGAATCAAGCTAAGTAGGAAAACACCCTGAGCTTCAATGGGAAGGTCATGGAGAGATGGGAGGATCTTAAATGTTCATTTGGCAGGTCTAGGTTTTAATCACAGTGGACTATTTTCCCAGGGCATTCCAATCACAGTGTTTTTGGGGAGGGATGCTGAAGTAATTAAAAAGCATTTATTTATCACATGGTCAGTTTTGTCCTGTGAATTCTGCTTGGGGGAAATAGTGTACAGTGGTGCCCCGCAAGACGAATGCCTCGCAAGACGGAAAACCCGCTAGACAAAAGGGTTTTCCGTTTTTGAGTTGCTTCGCAGGACGAATTTCCCTATGGGCTTGCTTCGCAAGACGAAAATGTCTTGCGAGTCTTGAGGTTTTTTTTCGCTCCCCCCCCTTTTTCTAAGCCGCTAAGCCGCTAATAGCCTTTTAGCAGCTAAGCCGCTAAGCCGCTAAGCCTTTAATAGCCGCTAAACCGCTAATAGCGCTAATCCGCTAATCCGCTAATAGGGTTGCTTCGCAAGACGAAAAAACCGCTAGACGAAGACACTCGCGGAACGGATTAATTTCGTCTTGCGAGGCACCACTGTATTTAGAAGAATAGTGATACACTGGTGTCCTTCCAAATTAATGTTAATTCCCAAGCAAACAATTAAAGGGAAGGTCTTTGATCAATTTGCATTCTTCTGCTGTTGTTTTCCTGGTTTGCATTCGTTTGGTTGTTATTTTGCAAACTTTTAGGGGAGATCAGTAAAGGGTCATTGCACTTTCCCTTTCCCTCGGTTCAGCTACAGGGCTTTTTGCATGATTTATTTTATTCATCCCTTTTTATTCTAATCCCTTTCTGTTTTCCAGCAAGCAACACCTGCTTCGGCATGTGTGTGTTTGCTAATTTTTATTCCTTTCCAGTGGTGGTTTTTCTCTCTTGTTAATTTGTTAATTTGCTTGTTCAAAGTTTCGGTTTTAGGGTACCTGTGATTTCCTTAAATTGTGTTACTATTATTACTATTACCATTAACATTATTGTCATTTATGTTTTCTCTCCTTTGCCATCTATGCCTAGTACATCTTTCCCACTCAGCTAAGTTTGCTTCCCCTCAGAGGTGTTGCTCTTTGGCTGTTATTATTCACCTAGCCAGCAGTAAGTTATAACCAAGCAATTGTAGGCAATGATTCACATCATTTACACATACATGCAAATCTAGCCTGGATCTATATTGATCTTGTAAATATTCTATGGTGCTTAATAGCAGTTTTCCAATGCTGGTGGCTCGCTGCTCTGTAGCGGCCTCTGGTGTCGCACTTTAATAACACATTTATAATGTTATAAACAACGCGTGTAGATCCGCCCCCAGTTTAACGAAGACGTGTGGAAGGTGGCAATACAAAAGCCCTAATTTTTATGGCAACCTATGTAAATCAATGAATATGAATAAAAGTATGAGTAAGGGACACGGGTGGCGCTGTGGGTTAAACCAAAGAGCCTAGGACTTGTCGATCAGAAGGTCGGCTGTTCGAATCCCCGCGATGGGGTGAGCTTCCATTGCTTGGTCCCTGCTCCTGCCAACCTAGTAGTTCGAAAGCACGTCAAAGTGCAAGTAGATAAATAGGTACCGCTCCGGCAGGAAGGTAAACGGTGTTTCCGTGCGCTGCTCTGGTTCGCCAGAAGCGGCTTAGTCATGCTGGCCACATGACCCGGAAGCTGTACGCCGGCTCCCTTGACTAATAAAGCGAGATGAGCGCAGCATCCCCAGAGTCATCTGCGACTGGACCTAATGGTCAGGGGTCCCTTTACCTTTACCTTTTTAAGTCAAACAAGGAAGAAATATGAAATATATATATATAATGTATATAAAAACCATATATAGAATGTTTTTTTAAAACAGTATGAACAAATATATTGTCATAGAATTGTAGAATTGTACAGTTGGAAGGGACCTTGAGGGTCATCTAGTCCAACCCCCTACAATGCAGGAATCCTGCCCACAGCTGTCCCTGGATGGACTCGAACTACCAACCTTCTGGTTAACAGCCAGACACATTGAGCCATTGTGTTACTGTGTCATTCCACAAGTTTAAAAATCAGAGCCCACCTCTCAATAAATGATGCAAATGATTATATTTTTCCTTTTAATCTATTCAGGCTTGATTATTGTAACTCACTCTACATGGGGCTGCCCTTGAGACTGACCCAGAAACTCCAGCGGGTGCAGAATGTTGCAGCGAGACTCCCTAGGGGGTCCTCGCCATGGGATCACATTCATCCGGTGCTATATCAGCTGCACTGGCTCCCGGTGGAGTACAGGATCAGGTTTAAGGTGCTGGTTTTAACCTTTAAAGCCCTATATGGCCTAGGACCCTCGTACCTACAGGACCACCTCTCCTGGTATGTCCCACAGAGGACCTTACTGTCTTCAAGTAAAAACATCTTGGAGATCCCGGGCCACAGGGAGGTTAGGCTGGCCTCGACCAGTGGCAGGGCTTTTTCGGCTGTGGCCCCAATCTGGTGAAACGCTCTGTCACAAGAGACTAGGGCCCTGCGGGACTTGACATCTTTCTGCAGGGCCTGCAAGATGGAGCTGTTCCACCAGGCCTTTGGCCATGGCACAGTCTGACCCCTTCTCTCCTCATAGAACTTTAACCCAATGGTTGCCATTAATTTGATTCTGAATTGATTTTAGAATGTATTCCAATTAATTGTGTGATTTTATGTACACTGTGCTATCTTTACTTGTTGTTAGCCGCTCTGAGCCCGGCTTTGGCCAGGGTGGGTGGGATACAAATAACATTTTATTATTATTATTATTATTATTATTATTATTATTAGTTGTTGTTGTTGTTGTTGTTGTTGTTGTTGTTGTTCCTCTGCCTTTTCCCTCCTTTATATGTCCTTTCCCTTTCCCCTTTCTACTTGTTTTCTTTTTTCTTGACAAGCTTGTTTGATGTCTAACGGTCTTGGCTGCAAAGTGTAATAATATATATAAGCGTATGAGCAATATTACTTCAATTATACCGCCATGTGCTTTCTTCCCCATGGAAACTGTGCTCCAAACAGCTCACCATATTGCTACGAAGGCATTGTGAGGTTGAACAATCCCCAGTGGGTCATAGGTGGCTGGATAATAGCTCAAGTAATTCAATTCATCATTTAAAACACTTAAGGAAACTCACTTTGCACTTCAGAAAACCACTACTATAGTCCACCGAATTGGTTTTATATATGGAAAACTAGACATATTTGTCAAAATATGCTGACGAGCTCCATAATTAATCATTCATAAGCCCAGTTACGATCAAATCTGTTACATTTCAGGGGAACTTAGTCCCACATTATTTGCTGCTTATACCTCAGGTATTAACATGAAATCTGGTGTTTTAGCACCATTGCTTTCTTTGCTGCTCTCTCCCACTTTTTGTAATTCAGTATTCTTAGGAATTACTTGTTAAATAAACCTACAGTTGGACTGGTTTAGTGGTTGCTTCATACTTTTGTGTGTCAATATTTTCACGGAAAATTGAGAGTCTGCTTGCCCAACCTAAGTAATAGCCTACAAATTACAGTATGCGGAAGGCGTCACATGAAAATGTCCCACTTGGAAGAGGAATGGAATGCAAAAATGCATTTATACATATATGAAAATAGACATCATTCCCTAAGGATTTAATTTTGGAGCATGGCACATTTCTGGTTTAGCTAAACATTCCTCATATCTGAAAGCATTACGGGTGTTTTGTAGCTGAGCCAAGCAGGAAATTATTACTACTTTTGTGATTGCAGATTCTGAAACCTCCACAGGCTTAACTTAAGGCCTAGTGTACACAGGGCCGGCTCTCCCACGAGGCAAAGTGAGGCAGATGCCTCAGACAGATTTTTTCAGTTGATTTCACTTGTATAGGTTTTTTTTCTGGTTTAAATCTTTTATAAAATCTTGATACAGTGGTACCTCGGGTTAAGTACTGAATTCGTTCTGGAGGTCCGTTCTTAACCTGAAACTGTTCTTAACCTGACGCACCACTTTAGCTAATGGGGCCTCCCACTGCCGCCGCGCCACCGGAGCACGATTTATGTTCTCATCTGAAGCAAAGTTCTTAACCCGAGGTACTATTTCTGGGTTAGCAGAGTCTTTAACCTGAAGCGTATGTAACCTGAAGCGTATGTAACCCGAGGTACCACTGTACTTGCATTGTGCTTTTATTGCAGCAAGTTGCCTTGGCACTTTTTTTGATTAACAAATAAAAGCAAATCATCTTGGATGCCATGAAAGGACATCAAATTGTTAGTTACTTAATATATTATTATCATAGAATCTTTGAGTTGGAGGGGACCCCAAAGTTCATCTAGTCCAACCCCCTGTAATGCAGGAATCTCATCTAAAGCATCCATAACAGATGGCCCTCCAACCTCGGCTTAAGAACCTCCAAGGAAGGAGAGACCGCCACCTCTCGTCGGAATCTGTTCCACTGTTGAACAGCTCTTACTGTCAGAAAACTTTTCCGAATCTTTAGTTGGAATCTCCTTTCTTGCACTTGAAGCCATTGGTTCGAGTCCTACCCTCCAGAGCAGGAGAAAACAAGTATGCTCCCTCCTCCATGTGACAGCCCTTAAGATATTTGAAGATGGCTATCATATCTCCTCTCAGCCTCCCCTTTTCCAGGCTAAACATATCCAGCTCCTTCAACCGTTCCTCATAAGGCATAGTTTCCAGACCCTTGATCATCTTGGTTGCCCTCCTCTGCACACCTTCCAGCTTGCCAACATCCTTCTTAAATTGTGGTGCCCAGAACTGGACACAGTATTCCAGGTGTGGTCTGACCAAGGCAGAGTAGAGTGGTACTATTATTTCCCTTGATCTAGACACTATACAGTCATACCTCTTGTTACGTTTGCTTCAGGTTCAATCTTTTCAGGTTGCGTCCCGCGGTAACCTGGAAGTAGTAGAAAGGGTTACTTCCGGGTTTCGCCACTTGCACATGCACAGATGTGAAAAATAATGTCATGCACAGAAGCAGCGAATCGCGACCCACGCATGCGCAGACGCGGGTTGCGCTCCGTTCAGGTTGCGAACAGGGCTCCGGAACGGATCCCGTTCTCAACCAGAGATACCACTGTACTTCTGTTGATGCCGAAGTAATAAACTTCAGTTTATTTATCTTTCTGCTGCTGGTGAACTGGAGAGATACCTAAGGAAATTTCTACATCAGGTGTCAGCATATCTTAGCTTGGCTTGGGTCCTCTCTGCTGAAAATATGAAGTGGGGGATGGCATTTAATGTTCTGCCTCGGGCAGTGAGATATCTTGGAGCTAGCCACACATCTGCACATCTAGCACAATGAAAATGAAGAATGAAATGTACCACTTCAAACTGCAGGTCACGTGTTTGTAATATCCCTTGCTTGGAATCTTCCTTCAACAAGTAAAATAGCAAAGCTTGGTGAGAAAGTTTCTCAGTAATGTTTGATAAAGTGCAATAGAAGTGAATAACATCACCACCAACAACAGCAATATAATATAGGGTGGGAGGTTTGTTTTGGGGGTTGTTGTTTTTGTTTTGTTTTTTACTTGGGAGCATTGAAAAATGGTGCCCCACACCTGTTTCTGAAGTGGCATGACCCATTCTAACCTCCTCATGTTTGTATGTATATGTGAGGAGAAAATTAGAACATGCCTGAGAAGTTAACATTCTTGGGAATGAAACGAATGAATATTTGGGAATGACACAGAGGAACATTTTGGTCTTCCCCCTATCTCATATGCTTTCAAAACTCAATTATCCTTTGTATTGTCTGGTTTCATACCTTTGGGTATGGGGTGGTATATAAATTCAATCAATAAAATTATTATTAATAATAATAATAATAATAATAATAATAATAATAATAATAAATTTTTGCTTGCTCATTTCCTGGTTCCTTTGTTTTTGGAAGAACCTCTCAATCTCCCTGTGACATGCCAATCTTTGTGATGATTAATAAAAATTGAAATGTCCCAAGTAAAAAAAAAAAGTGAAGTCCCTAAAGTGCCCAAACCACAAGGAACACGCTCTTCTGTTGATTCATTCATTGGATTGACTTTTATTTTGGTTGGTATTACCCTTTAACTCTGCCAGGTATGACATATCTGACACTACCAAATGGAACAGGCTGCTTTTGAAATTTAGTACTATGATGGATTTTTAAATGATATTATATTAGCGGAAGTTAACCTGGCAGTTTCATAGCATGACCTACTTGAGTCAGGATGGTTTGGGTTTATTTCACACACAAACACCCCCAAGGGCTGGTTCATTTATGGCCACAGTATATAGAATGTATGTACAGGTAGGAGCAGGAATGAACATCACATGTATTATTATTATTATTATTATTATTATTAATACCCCCCCCCATCTGGCTGAGTTTCCCCAGCCACTCTGTGCCGCTCCCAATCGAGTGTTAAAAACAATACAGCATTAAATATTAAAAACTTCCCTAAACAGGGCTGCCTTCAGATGCCTTTTAAAGACATCTTTAAAAGCACATTTGCGCGGCCATTTAAAAAATAAATAATGAAGTGCAGAGTGTTTGAGGACGGGAGCTCTCACAGGGAAACTAAAATGCTTGTTTACAAAGCTATTGTACTACCAACCTTACTGTCTGCTTGTGAAACACGGACCACTTATAAACGCCATCTCCAACTCCTCGAAAGATTCCATCAACAGTATCTTCGAAAATTTTTACACATCACTTGGGAAGACAGGCGAACTAATACCAGTTTACTGGAAGAAGCAAAGATCACCAGTGTTGAAGCAATGATTCTTCAACATCAACTTCGTTGGACTGGTCATGTTGTGCAGATGCCTGATTATCATCTTCCAAAGCAGCTACTCTATTCTTAACTTAAAAATGGAAAGCGTAATGCTGGTGGTCAACAAAAGAGGTTTAAAGACTCTCTCAAGGCAAATCTAAAAAAATGTAGTATAAACACCGACAACTGGGAAACACTTGCCTGTGAGCGCTCCAACTGGAAAACAGCCTTTACCAAAGGTGTCATGGGCTTTGTAGACATTCAAACTCAGGACGCAAGGGAGAAACATGCTAAGAGGAAGGCATGCTTGGCAAATCCACACTGTGATCAGCTCCCGCCTGGAAACCAATGTCCCCACTGTGGAAGAATGTGTGGATCCAGAATTGGCCTCCACAGTCACTTACGGACTCACTGTTAAAACCGTGTTTATGGAAAACAATCTTACTCGGCTATGAGTGATCGCCAAAGAAAAAAGAAGAAAAGATATAGTAGATGCACATTTAGACCAATGTGCCTGTTCTATCTGCAATTCAGGTGCTGAATGTTGATAGGCAACTTCAAGAATTTTTTTTGCTCTCCTTTTTTAATGGTTCTTTATCTTTAAAAAGGTAAAGGTAAAGGGACCCCTGACCATTAGGTCCAGTCGTGACCTACTCTGGGGTTACGGTGCTCATCTCGCTTTATTGGCCGACGGAGCCGGCGTACAGCTTCCGGGTCATGTGGCCAGCATGACTAAGCTGCTTCTGGCGAACCAGAGCAGCCGAGTGGTACCTATTTATCTACTTGCACTTTGACGGGCTTTCGAACTGCTAGGTTGGCAGGAGCAGGGACCGAGCAACAGGAGCTCACCCTGTTGCGGGATTCGAATCGCCGACCTTCTGATCAGCAAGTCCTAGGTTCTGTGGTTTTACCCACAGCGCCACCCATGTCCCTTCTTTATCTTTAAACTGGACCCTAAATTGTCATATTCATTTACAGCTGAAGTTAAGATATTGGAAAGCATTACAGAATGTCTATTCCACAGGCTGCCACCGTGTTGCCCCTGTTGGCACCCCCAAAGCCCCTGTGCCCCTACCTCCTCCCACCCATGAGCCTAGTAAATCAGAAGGCGTTTACACTACTGGGACACAAGGTGTCTCTCTGCTTCTCTTTGCTCTCTCAGCTGCTGATCTCTGCCTTTGATATTGAAAAGCTTGCAAGAGATTCCTTACCAGATGCTCCCCTCCCCTTTCCCAAAGCAACATCATTTCTGGCCTCTGGGCGGCCGGAGAAAAATAAACCACAGGATATGCTCCAGAATCTTCAGGAGCAGAGCAAAGGCCTGAAACAATAAACATCTGCCGTAGCTGACAATCTCCAGATTCTTCCAGAGACACCATTTCATCTGGAGAGCTTTCTAGCTGTTGGAGAAACAAAGATCAGATTTTATATGTGGTGCAGTTTCAAAAGCATTTCAAAGTGTTTTTCATGTTAAAGCACAAGCAAGCAATGCAAACATTTTTATCACCCTGAAGAAAACCCCCAGCTTTTGTTCTGTCTCTGGGATTTCCTGCTCACCTCCTTTCCTCTTGTTCTGAACTACTGCCTTTGTGCAGGCCAGGTTCAACTTCACTGACCCTTAATAAACAATTATTAGGAAGAAATAACTTGTCTGGGAGCACTAATATTTATGCATGAATGGATTGGTGATGATGATTCTGCTAAAACTTCTGGCACTGACTGCTTCACCTGCCTTGGCCAAACAGAAGAATCTCTTGCAGGCTTTTGCCGATTTGCTCTGGTTCTAGAGATGAGAAGACCAGGCAGAATTCTCATTATATTCCTCTTCTAATTCCAGTCTTGCATTCATACTGCTTTCCAAAGATCTTTGTAGGCAGGGTGCACAAATCTGTACATGAGAGGAACTGCCTGGACACTTGTAGAGAAGATTATTTTTACTGACATGTTGCTGCAAGGCAAAGTTCCAATGGTGGACAATTTCAAAAAGACTCAGAAATACTGTATTAGAGGACAGTTCTATACAACAAGATCCTGAGTTTGCTGAAGAATGGTGACTGGGACAAAGTTTTAGAGTTTGACCAGGAGGATCCTAGTTCAAATCTTTGCCCAGCCAGGAATCTTACAGAGTAACCATGAGTCAATCTCTTAGCACAACCTATATTGCAGGATTATTGCGAGTATAAAAGAAAAGACCACCTTGCGCTGAGGAAGGCAGGGTGAAAATAAAGTACCGTATTTTTTGCTCTATAAGACTCACTTTTTCCCTCCTAAAAAGGGGAAATGTGTGTGTGTCTTATGGAGCGAATGCAGGCTGCGCAGCTATCCCAGAAGCCAGAACAGCAAGAGGGATTGCTGCTTTCACTGCGCAGCGATCCCTCTTGCTGTTCTGGCTTCTGAGATTCAGAATATTTTTTTTCTTATTTTCCTCCTCCAAAAACTAGGTGCGTCTTGCGGTCTGGTGCATCATATAGAGTGAAAAATACCGTACTAATAATTAAATACAGTTGTACCTTGGAAGTTGAACAGAATCTGTTCCAGAAGTCCATTTGACTTCTAAAACGTTCAAAAACCAAATTGTGGCTTCTGATGGGCTGCAGGAAGCTCCTGCAGCCCATCAGAAGCCGTGGAAGCCCCATCAGATGTTTGGCTTCCAAAAATATTTCACAAACTGGGACAGTCACTTCCAGGTTTGCGACGTTCGGGAGCCAAAATGTTCAGGAACTAAGCTGTTTGAAAACCAAGGTACAACTTTAATTGCAATCAAATGCTATCTAAAGTAAAAGTTAATTCCTGCTCAAGTGGAACATGTGCAGAGAGAGCAGGGGGGATGCAGTCTTAACAAAGAGCAAATAAGACTTTATAGTACTCATGCTAGGAGGATGTATCAGCATGAATAAGTGCAACAAAATCTTCAGAGATGAGTGGATGCATTTAGGAGTTAGTTGATGTATTTGCTTATAATTTTGTATGAATAACTCAGATTATATATGGTTCCCCAGATGCATATTTTTCACTTCGCTTTGAGAATACTGTTAATGAAATTCAGATGGAGAATGCTTGACAGGGTCATCATTCTAGAAAACACCTTCGCATCCTAGAAAAGCAGCTGATCAGAATTATCTTGGAGGGTGCATGGAATATGCGGCTGGCTGGTAGACACAGGAAGTCATTTCACAGTTGTTGGGTTGTTAGGCAGCCAATGAACACAGATGCAGACACATCGTCCAGAAGAAACAGATCCAGAGGGAATAACGTTGGATACTGCAATTCTTGGTCTGTAAGATCCTTTATTTGCCAGAATTAACAGTTCTTGGTCCAAAATAATTGGCTTTTCCTAGGTGAAATGGAAAAGGAGTGAGAATCATGTTTGCCTAAACAGCGGACATAAGCAACTCATGCTCTCCAAGTCCCCCCTCCCCCTCCCCCCAAAATCCTGCATGAGGTGAACACAACTGTATCTCATGAAAGGAGCCCAATAACCAGATGTACGTCTGTCACCAAAAATAACTGCATGTCTAATTTTCTGCTTCCCCTCTGCAATATCTATTGTGGCATCACAGAGTTCTGTGCCATTGCCAGCCAATGGGCAGGCAGGGATACCTAACACTGTGACATCACTGCATGATGGAAGTTCTACCAAATCTTCAGGAGAGAGAACTCAACATGCAAGCCCTGGTTTGATTTTTCATAGTGTCTACAATAGTTTTTGAAGTGCCTTACTTGCCCCGCCCCCCAGCAATAATGTACCACAATCAGTACTTTAAATTGCCAGCCCAACATAGACACCCTGTAGAGTGACTTTTGTGGAATCGCTGTGTGGCCCTTGCTAGTGATTATACATCCAATATATAAACAGGTTTTGGGTTACAAAGCACTGCAGGGCAGCTGTTTCTCATTTCCCATCCTACACATGCTATCTTGCTTACATGGCAGTTTAGTTTAAAGGATCTGTGTTGACTCAGAGGAGCAAGATGTACAATGCTCGGCTTTGCCTGAACGTCACATTATGACTTGTAGCACCAGCAGGATTTCTTGGTGGTTGGAGCAGTGCTTTTCAACATGTCGGGGAAGAACAACATGGTTTCAGAAATTAGGCCAAAATCCTACTCTCCAGGAGGCAGACTTGCAAGCTATAAACACTCTAACAATGTGCTTTGCTGCCCCACTGCAGTGGAAAATTCTGGTGACTCAGAATTTTGGCTCCACTGCAACAAATGAAAAGTTCATTAGCTAGCTTGACCATACAGCTTAAATACAATGTTTCTTCTCTAAGATAAGGGTCAAGTGGGGGTGTGAAGGGATGGAATATTTACTAGATACAGGAGAGAGTATTTTATTTTATTTTTTTAGTGGTGGGTGGGACCTCCCTTGAATCATTTTGTTTCCATTTGAAATTGTTGTGAAGCTGTTACCAGTTCATTTGAGGACATCTATTGCAATCCAACAGCTCCTCCTGCCCTTAATTGGGATGCACGCGGCGCTGTGGTCTAAACCACTGAGCCTCTTGGGCTTGCTGATCAGAAGGTCAGCAGTTCGAATCCCCAAGACAGGGTGAGCTCCTGTTGCTCTGTCCCAGCTCCTGCCAACCTAGCAGTTTGAAAGCACGCCAGTGCAAGTAGATAAATAGGTACCACTGCGGCGGGAACGTAAATGGCGTTTCCGTGCACTCTGGTTTCCATCACAGTGTTCCATTGTGCCAGAAGCAGTTCAGTCATGCTGGCCACATGTCCTGGAAAGCTGTCTGTGGAGAAACGCTGGCTCCCTCAGCCTGAAAGCGAGATGAATGCCGCAACCCCATAGTCGCTTTGACTAGACATAACAGTCCAGGGATCCTTTACCTTTTAATTTATTACCCGTCCTTAGCTTCTAAAACAGGCTTCCTCAACCTCACCCTCCAGATGTTTTGAGACTACAGTTCCCATCATCCCTGACCACTGGTCCTGCTAGCTTGGGATCATGGGAGTTGTAGGCCAAAAATATTTGTAGGGCTGAGGTTGAGGAAGCCTGTTCTAAAACATAAGGTGCTGGGACTAATGGTGGGGGTGTGGTTTTGTGAGAAACTATATGCTTTGCAGGCACAGCATCCTTGTTTCATTCTCAACCATCTCCAGCTAAGTGATGACAGGTTTCATGGGTGGAAAAGTGCTAACCATAGGGTGGTCAGTTGCTTATCACCATATCAAACTCTCTACCTCTCTGTCTCTGTCATCTCTATCAATTGATCATATATATGGAAAATTGGAAATAATTGCTATAAATTAAATAGATATGCAATGCACCTCATTATGGTGGGATGAACTCAGGCTGGTGTGCTTGCTTGGTTGCTGTCCAGTGTTGATGGGCAACTTCAAGACCCCTCCTGCTCTCCTTTCCTATGGCTCCTTATCTTTTGATCTTCAGCCATGTTGCCCATCATATAAAGGACACCTTCAAGCCAAACAGAGGGCCTTCTCGGTAGTGGCGCCCACCCTGTGGAAGGCCCTCCCATCAGATGTCAAGGAAATAAACAACTCTCTGACTTTTAGAAGACATCTGAATAGATAGGCAGTCCTGTATTTGCAAGTTTTTAATGTTTGATGTTATATCATACCTTTAATATTCTGTTGGGAGCCACCCAGAGTGGCTGGGGAAACCCAGCCTGATGGGTGAGGTATAAATAAGTTGTTGTTGTTGTTAAGCAAAGTCCTATGTAATGTAGGGCATGGGGCCGCCCTACCAGATTGCCTATCTATTACAACAGAAATATTAATGCTAATATTTAATACCATGAATATGAAAGGTACTAATTCTTTCTTTTTAGAGTCAGTCGGTGCTCAGGAAAATAGTATGGATTTTACTCAGTATCTTAAAACTACAAGGGAGGAGCTGGTTGGTCTAGGAAAAGGAGTCCATGAGGCAGACCATCTTATTCGCAAGTCCAATAAACTTAACAAGCCACTGCATTTGGAAGGACAGACAAAATGTTTTGAGAATTGGGGCCCCTTTTTAAGACTGGGGAAAGTTTTATGATTCTAGATAGGGATCTTATTTTTGGATGTGCTTTCAAATTTCTCCGTGTTTGTTCATCTCTGACCTGAATTGCTGATGGTTTTGGAAAGACCGTTGGTGAGAAAAAGGTCACATTTCTGCACTTTTGCTCATCATTAGTCTCCATTAGCTTATTACCTCTGGCATCACTCTGCTGGGCTAAGTCCAACCTTGCAGTCCAAAGGAACAGACTTTCGCCCCAAGTCTCTCCCCCCCACTCCCTTTGCCTGCACCCTTAGGGTGTAAAATCTTCCAGTTTACTCATTGCAAAGCTTCCAAATGCCTATTCCCTCTCCCCGAATGGATTCTCAGACATATGAATCATCCAAAACGAAACTCGGTCCTTGAGAACTTTTCTGAGAGTGAGCTAAATTGGTTTGAAGTGTATATATGATCACTTGCAGAATCAATGGCAAAGGATATGAGAATGCCCTCACTGCTGCAAGGACTTTAGGCCTCGTGTTTTTGTAACACGCAGTTTAAATTTTTTAGAAACATCCTTGTCTTCTGTGTTGCAGAGGCATAGGTTGTAGAACATTTTAAGCGCTCTGAAACAGTGTTTTTCTTGGAGAGGAGTCATGTGGCGGGCTTTCAAGAGTGAAACCGTTTCAAAACGTTTGCGGTGGTGTGTTTTTTTTTTGCTTTGGCTTGCAGTTGCATTAGAAATCAAGCGTTTTTGAACATGGCAAATATTTCCACTCAAACCACTGATGATGTTCCTGGAGGAAGAACTGACGCTACAAAGATTATAGTTTGCCTTTCCAATTTACATAAGAGCTCACAACAGCGGAGGAGAGAGGAAAGGAAGTAATGAAGCTACAATGACAATTGCTTCAAATAGCCGAAACTATGATGCCTGTCGAAAGCATTCTTTGGCTAGAAAAAAATATATAGTTGCATTGTAGCTGTGATATCAGGCAAAATCCACTTCATCCATTGTCTCTCAGGTCTATTGAGCATCTCCAAACACTTACCTGCTTTCAAAGATGTTCATTTACTTTAAACTGGCAGCTTCAGTGTCACAGATCCCCATAGATTGGGCCTGCCATTTTCTAAGGAGGATACAAAGGGAATGCATGAGGAAGATTGTTGTGGCCATCAAAGCAGGCCATCAAATTTCAGACTTCTATAGGGGAAAAGCAAGAGATTTCAAGATGGGATGCGATGGGGAGAATTTTTTTTAATCCAGAGTATTTTGCTTCAACTGTTTTCTTTTCTTTTCTTTTCTGCATCCAGTGGTGTTATCCACTTAGAATAAATGGACACTTTTTAAATAAAAGAAGCACAGGGATTAGTGCACTGGTCTGTTTCAGGGTTTATAACCATTATGAGTTTAAGCAGTAGGGATAGGCCAACTGGTCAATTTCAGTTTCTTTCATTTTCTGATTTCCCCAGTCTTAAATTCAGTTCTTCACTTTTTAATATCAGTGTGCATGTTTTTGTCTTTTAAAAAGTCCTCACCAGAAAATTCAGCAGTACTTTAGTGGGAATTTTGTCCAATATGCACTTTTTTGTATGCAATTTCCCCTAAGAGAAAAACTTTGCACAACAATATCCCAACATATAATGCATTTTTTTGCATGTCACTTTCACAAATATATGCATTTTACTCTAATCCATGAGGGTTTTTGTTTTTTTACAAAATTAGGAAAAGTGCAAATTCAAAGGTATTTCACTTTGTGTAATATTTCAGAAGGTACCAAGTAGGTAGGTTTTTATGCTTACAATCAAATTTCTCTCCATTCCCTTGTACTGAGAAATCATTCTGTGAGGTCCAATATGCCTATAAATGGTGCCCTTGGACTGTAGGAAAATAAAGAACACAGCCAAAGAGAAAATTGACTCATCTGCAGTGGGACTGACACACAAAAATTATTCCCCCCCCCCCCGCAAAAAAGCCCTGTTCTTTTGAGAACGACAACCATGACATTGGTTTGTATGCAACGTAGAGCTAATGTGGATATTCCATTAACACTAGGGTTTCTCCTTGAGCAAATAAGTGTCAGCTCTTGTGGCGTCTGCCTGTTCGTTTAGAGCCTGTCTGTACAGGGGGAAAAGAAAGGGTTAAAAAATGTAGACCAATAGGAAAGCTGGAGGCAGAGCCTTCATGTGTATAAAAGGGCTTAGCCCGAGTTTTGTTAGAGTTGTTGGTGGGTATATGGTTGGTTTTAGTGGATTGGCTGGTTGGGAAAGGCAGTTGGCAGGCAGTTCGTAATCGTAATAGGGAGACAGGGCAGTGGGTTTTTGAGTGAGGGGAGTTAGAAGAGATAGAGAGAGGAAAATAAGACAAAGTAAAGAGTAACAACGTTTGGAATACCGTAAAAATTTGTTTGTGTCTGAAATAAAACACACTCCTCTTTATTAACTTGAGAACCGGACTGAGACTGAAGTGATTTTACTGGGGAGGACCTGGTTGGGGGCAGCGGATTAGTGGTGTACGGGTCAATAGTCCATGAGATGACCGGGGGCTCCGTACGAACGCCACAGCCCTCCTACCACTGTGTACCCCCTAAGTGGGAACATGGGGTTCTCCCAACTGTACAGAGCAGATTTAGGCATGGCACGTGTAATGTGAAGGGAAGGGGGGGAATCTTGTTGCACTACCACTAATCCTAGCTCTGGGGCAACTACCGTATTTTTCTGTCTATAAGGTGCCCCCATGTATAAGATGCCCCCTATTTTGGGGGACTCAGATTTAAGAAAATACACCCTCGGCACTATCCGTGTATAAGACACCCCCTAATTTTTGACATGATTTTTTTTTGGGGGGGGAACTATTCTTATACACGGAAAAA